GAGCAATTTATGGTAGCCATTATTCACGCAGGGTGTCGTTTACGTCCCGAGCCGTAGTCGAGTCTAATACTATACTTTGTACCATTATACCATTATGGTTTCTTTATTAAATAAAAGTTAAGTGTAGAATGGAAAGTTTATATTAAACATAGGTAACTAACTGTTTTTTCGACTTTTCGATTTTTCGTTTTTATCGATTTTTTTTTCTATTTTTTTCAATTTTTTTTTCGATATTTCGATTTTTTTCGATTTTTCGATTTTTTTTTCGATTTTTTGATTTTTTTTTTTTTTCGATTTTTTGATTTTTCGATTTTTTTCGATTTTTCAATTTTTTTTCGATTCTAATATACTTAATGGTGGATGTTATACAGTCGAGGGACTAAAATATTTAATATACAAAATATACAAAACCAACTGACGCGAGCGCCACCTTCGCATCTATACACTGGAACTAAATATATACATAAAATTGAAAATTAAGCATTATGACATCCAGCTGAAATTTTTTTGGCGCCCTTTTAAACCTTCTTTATGATGTTTGAACCCCAAAAACGTTGTGACATCCGAATTTGGATGTCACATCGCAAACGGATGCCACAAAGATACCAACATTTTTGCGACATGATGTCACAACGCCGGCAGGACGAATCTATATATATATATATATATATATATATATATATATTTAATAGAATATCATTTTCAAGTAGTATCGCAAGTATCAGACACTTTCCATGAACCAAAACTTTTGTTAGACACTTTAAAGCTCCACCAAAAATAAATGAACTTCACTTATTTTTTAATGTCTGATTTTTGAATATGTTATCGAGATAACTATTACAAAATTATATTTAATCAGTCAGACAAATTGGAATGACCAAAAATCCCCTAAACACAAAAATTATTCGGCCGTGAGTACGAGCGCGAGAGCATTATGCATGCGTTTCAGAGCGAGTGAGACGTCCATTTGTAAAACCCAGAAATCCACCTTGATGAAATCTTTGGAGAAAGGTTTAGAGCACAATCTACCTGCTCAAATAGATGTTTTATTAATTGACGGTTTCTTTTTGCTACATACCATGAAAAATGTCCCGAAAACTTTTGGAGCTATCTCAAAAAAAATGCTTCAAATGGTAACGCAACTGAAAGCGATAAGATACGAGGTTATTTTTGATCAATATTTCTCTCCTTCCATTAAAGATTATGAAAGATCTCTTCGCCAAGAATCAACTCAACTGGATTTCAATATTGCTACTCCTGATCAAGTTAGACCTTCAGATTTTTTAAAACAACTGAAAACATCAATTTTAAACAAGCCCTCGTTGATTTCTTTATTCAACATCTCCTTTTAAAAGGCACTCAGAAAGCTGCGCAGTGCGACCATCACATACTTTGATTACTATACGGGGCGAGAGAGAGGTCCGACACGCCCAACATAGGGCGCGGCCATTTTGAACCCTATGACACAGTTTATAGCTAAGGAATCAGATCGCTCAATCTGCGTCGGCACTTTTTATCTCAATGTTCCAGTTTATACACTGCGCAACTCAGATAATACAATATATGACAACCGCCTATAATAAAACAGCAGTCGTCTGCGTATCCTGAATTTGTCTGGAGTGGATGTTATTTTGGAACTTTCAACTGGTCCGAGTGAGCTAACTGATTCTTTAGCAATAAACTGTGACTCTAAAAATAATATTCACTGACACCACATACTTTGTTTTTAGAAAATCAAAGTATGTGACTGACACTGACAGCAGCAAGCAAAATATCAGGTGCGTTTTAATCACATACTTTGATTTTCTTTTACTATACGGAGAATGGTCGCACTGCGCAGCTTTCTGAGTGCCTTTTAAAAGAAGATAGAAAACTCCGCCATTTTGAACCCTTATTACGTGTTGCCTACATCTTGGCGCAATATTTTTAATAGGTGCGTTTTAATCATCCGCTTCTGCTTCGGAATTGTCGGTTTTCTTGTTTTAATTTGACAAGTTAAAACGACTAAACCGACAATTCCGGAAGCAGAAGCGGATGATTAAAACGCACCTGATATTTTGCTTGCGGCTGTCAGTGTCAGTGAATATTATTTTTTGAGTCACAGATTATTGCTAAAGAATCAGTTAGCTCACTCGGATCAGTTGAAAGTTTCAAAATAAGATCCACTCCAGGGGGTCGATTCTCGACTTTTATTCCCATGGGAAAATAAAATTTTCCCATGGGAATTCAGTTTTCGTATTCTCGGCATAAGCGGTGGAATATTTTCCAATGAGAAGTATGGGAAAATATTCCCCTGCTTACGAGCATTGGAAATTGTGTTTTCCAATGGGAATTGTACTAGAGTTTGCGCATTAAAGTCGAAAATTTGACGAAAGACTACGCGAAAGACTAAGACATAACCAAAGATTATTGGATATCTTGGATTTTTGGTGAAATTGTAGTTAAAACATTTTTTTGGTGTATTTATAGATTGATATTATTTTATTTATGTGTGGGTATATTATTTTTACCTCTTTCACTAAGAACTGATTTTCTTAAATTAGTTAGAAATTGTGGGAGCTGCTAAGGGACTGGCAAATTGGTAACACAAATTGAGAAATTTGTAATAAATTTAATAAGACCTTTTCGAAAATTTTATTATTTCCGTTAACGAAAGAATTTCTTAGTTTCTCGAAACTTTCGTTGCTCTTCCATACAAAAGCTACTTTTTCTTTTTTCAATATGTGAAAAGAAAAACTAAAAATAACTCGATAAGTTTTAATTATACATAATCGAATATTTTCACTTGTCCTCGGTCAAGCTAGCGATTGCTCGGCACGGCATCTGCTCCAGCGCAGAGGCTCGGCAGGTAATCGGTTACCCAAAAACCACAACAAATACAAATAATACCAACAGTAAATTTTAAAATATCTTTAATGTTATTGGTTATTTCGAAATATTCGTGAACTTAATATCAGACATACGTGAAACTATTATTTCCATGGGAATGTCTATTCCGACAAGTTCGAGAATTGCATAACCTATTACCATGGGAATATAAGTAGTGGAATCTTTTCCCATGGGAAAATTTTCCAATGAACTCGAGAATCGAGCCCCTGAGGCGAGTTCGGTCAGTCAGGGGCTGGAGCGGGACAAATTTTAGGGTGCTTTTAAATGACATTTAAGCGTGTTAAACTGTCACTAATCGGACTAAACTGAACACTAAAAGAGTCGTTTGGAGTTAAAAGTGTTAAAGGAGTTAAAGGAACGTGGCAAACCGAACGCAATGCAGGGATACAAATTTAGGATACGCAGAAGACAGCTGTTTTATTATAGGCGGTTGTTATATATTGTATTATCCGAGTTGCGCAGTGTATAAACTGGAACACTGAGATCAAAAGTGCCGACGCAGAGTGAGCAATCTGATTCTTTAGCTATAACACCCGTATTCACCATTGTCTTAATCAGAGAGTTAACTCTTAACAGTCTGTTAACGTTTTTCTTTGGTATTCACCAATGATGGTTAGGGATTAACACTCAATTAAATCCTCTGATAAGTTAACAGAGGGAATTCGGGCTAATAAACCTGCTAACAGACTGATAACACAGTGTTACGTCATTTGTCATCTTTGATGTTATTAAACTAACAATTTCTTGATAGGATGGAAAGAATTAATTTAGTTGATTTTAATAATTTATTGAGTTCATCTTCAGATAGTGACGATGAAATTAGACGGCCAAGAATTATGAAGCATCGAAATAATTTGATGAATGAATTGGATGACGTCGATTTTAAAAAAAGATTTAGGATGAAGAAAGATACTGTGGAGTCAATATCTAACATGTTGCATGGTTTGTTTGAACCAGTAGATAGGCTAAATAACCCAATTTCTAAGCTAAATCAAATTTTAATATGCCTACGCTTTTATGCAACAGGATCTTTTCAAATCAATATTGGGGACCATTTCAATGTGTCCCAATCAACCGTATCCAGAATAGTGCGAAAAGTTACCAGAGATATAGTACGTTTGCGTCCTAATTTTATTAAAATGCCTGAAACTGATGAAGAGAAGCGACGAACAATATTAGGCTTTTACCAAATTGCAAACTTCCCAGGGGTAATAGGTGCCGTAGACTGCACACACATAAAAATTAAGTCCCCTGGTGGAAACCAAGCTGAAGTCTTTAGAAACCGAAAAGGGTATTTCAGTATTAATGTTCAAGCTGTCTGCAACTCAAACTTAAAAATAACTGATATAGTTTCTCGTTGGCCTGGATCTGTCCACGATACTACCATATTCAATGATTCCAATATAAGGGCACGATTTGAAGGTGGAGAATTTGTCCCTTATTACCTTGTTGGAGATGGTGGTTATCCCTGTAGAACGTACCTGCTAACACCACTGGGAGAAATTCTAACAGTAGCTCAACAAAGGTATAATTTTTCTCAAATTCGAACAAGAAATCCAGTTGAACGTTTATTTGGGGTGCTCAAAAGGCGTTTTCCTTGCTTATCTGTAGGTATGAGTTTGTCAACCGAAGTAATATGTGAAGTGATTGTGGCCACTGCTGTGTTACACAACATTTGTCTTGAAGAGCAGGATGATATGGAAGATATAGTGGATGAAAATAATGATAACGAGGCAAATTATGTTGACGTTGTTCATCATTATAACAGAAATGAAGAAAATTATACAGTTAGGAATTCATTAATTAATACAATTTTTCAATAAAAAATTTATTTTATAAAATACAACTTTTCTTTTAATCACTACACAATATTCCTACATCCTAATCAACTAAATGAGCATAAAGACAAGATGAAACTAAAGACTAAAAAACATTTTTGACTAATAATAATAAAAGGACTCTATTTGTAGTAAACAAGAAAGAAGTACTTGGATAACCAAGTTCCCAGTCCAACACTAATACTGTTGAATATAAATAATGAATAAAAAACTTTATGAAACGAAAAAAAAAATATTTTTGGCAAACAACCATTTTGACATAAGTATATCACTTTACTCTGACACAAGATTATTGTATTCTTTTTTTTTTATTTCTAGTTCAAGCATTTCTCGTTGCTTAATAATTTCTTTTATTTCAGTTTCAATTCTCTTCCCTTCTAAATTTTCTTTTTCAGTTTCTGCTATCAATTCCAAAATGCTATATTTTTTCTGCAGGATTTCATACTTTTTTTTGTTAATGGAATCGGTTGTTTTCCAATGAGATGGTTCTTTTTTAGTCTTCTTCTGAATTCCTCCAGTCTTTGATGGCTCACGCTCACCATTTTCCTCCACTTCAATGGAGTTCACATTTGACTTACATACTTTCTTTTTTTTTGATAAAGGATCTTCGTTTTTTGGCATAATGTCAGTAAGTATATTCTTATTGTCTTCATAGTTTTCATACATAATAATAATATTTTCTGTATTCACATCAGTGTCATCTGGTTCTTTACTGGAGGATGGAATATTCAATGCTTCATTATTGGAGTCAAATTGATTATTTATATAAAAATAATTATCTTTTATTATATTTAAAACTTTATTGTCAAAATCCGTAATGGTTGGTGTGAAGGTACCTCCGCCAGTCTTTAATAATTCTACCTAAAATATATTTGGATTTATTAATCAAGAAACTTGAACTAGTAATTGACTTTACCTTGTCTTGTGCCTTGTGCTGTTTAGCAGTTTTCTTGAACTGCTCATAAGCACTTTTCAGTTGGACACCAGTTCTCAATCCGCTCGTAGATGTTGAATTATATTCACAAGCTAATTTTTCCCAGCATTCCAATTTCTTCTTATTAAATACAGCGTTTGTTTTTTTATTTTCAATAATATCAAAATATTTTTGAACAAGTGTAACTAGAACCTCCTTTTCATGTTCTGTAAAGTTGGCAGAACGTTTTCGTTGTTTGTCCATTTCAATTAAACAAATAAATCAGTAAACTTATAACTTTTGCACTAAAAATTATTAAATTCTTTTCTTTCGTTCTTAAAATTTACAGACAGATGACGGCAATAATTTAATAAATCAATAGTGGTGAAGATAGCCACTACAGATCAGTACCAACATAAATTCTGGTTACTTTCAGTTAACTGTCTGTTTACTAATATTGGAATGAAATTTTATGGTGAATAGCAAATGTTCTTATCACACTGTTAAATTTTAACTGTTTGTTAGTTATCAGTCTGTTAAGTCAAAAATGGTGAATCCGGCTGTAAACTGTTGCATAGGGTTCAAAATGGCCGGGCCCTATGTTGGGCGTGTCGGACCTCTCTCTTGCGCCGTATAGTAAAGAAAATCAAAGTATGTGGCGACCATTCTCCGTATAGTAAAAGAAAATCAAAAAAAAAAAAAAAAAAAAAAAAAAAAAAGAATCAAAGTATGTGGTTAAAATAAATAATTTTTAACAGGCCTCTAAAATTTGTGTATACAGAATACCATTTTTGGTTAAAAAAATTAACGGGCGGCTAAAAGTTTAATTTTTAATGGCCTCTAAATTATAACTATAAATAGTCTGGACCGTATGTTCATTTGCGGTATATTTATAAACATATTTTATTTAATAAAAAAAAATTCGATCCGTTAATCAGATGGGTGAAGGTCGGCCTAACTTCGGATCTTAGACCATGTGGCTTTGGTATTAATTTGTAGACTTATTAAAAATAATTAAATTTGAAAATTCTTACTGTGATATATTAGAGAACATATGGTCCACAATAAAACTGGAAAATTACGAATGTTTGAATAATAATAATAATAATAATAATTAATAATAATATTTGTTTTCTGGTTTTTTATATTTTGGCTTTTTACTGTTTCCAGCGCCACTTCAGGAACAGCAATAGTGAATGGTCGAAGTGAGGAATAATACCTAGGCATTAGCATTATTTTTAAATAATTAAATTAAATTAAAAACTTCTGGCCAGCGGTGGGATTTGAACTGCGGACCCTTGGATTCGCAACTGCAGATTAAAAACTCAGTCATCCACTCCTCTAAATAATAATAATAATAATAATTGATAAGAAATTTCTAATCTAGTTACATAGTAGATCTTTGATACCTTGATAGACACAAAAATATTTCTTCTTTTTTTTATAAACATCTTTGGTTCTTGTCATCTTGTCAAAGTGAAGAATGTCAATAATGTCAAATCATATGTCAATATTTCTGCATTTCCTGCCAAAAAAATGTCAGTAGTCAGGATTCCGTATTCCTGCCTGTTGCTAAAATTAACTGAATAAAGAGACTGAAAAAACCAATGAAGGGAAACGGCAACTTATAAATAAAATTAAAATGGCAACAAAAATATTGAGAACTAAAAACGTACATAGTTTATTCTACAAATCGTTTTCGGGGTGTTTATCACAAAAGACCACATTAACTCAATTTGTAAAATTCCAAAATGATTTAAATTTAAATGTAAATAGTAGTTTTAAAAGATTTAGTCTAAGTGCAGTGATATCGGGTACAGCTGGACATGCAGAAACCACAAGTACTACACAGGGTCTATCGAAATTACAAGCTCAGGAACTTATTTTAAGATTAAATGGGGAAGAAAGAAACATTCTGATGTCAGCTCTACATGAGTATCAATCGAAACAAATCAAAGATGAATACGAAGGTAAGTAAAATCTCAAACAGGTATGTGATTTTCATTTCATTTATTCAGCAACTTGTACTTTTAACTTCATTACACTAGTTGGACTTTCATATAATGTTAATTTTTTTAAATAATTTAATATTTGATCTTATTTCAATACAGAGCAATACGTTTTTATCTAAGTAACTGTTTATAGCACTTATTCACTATTCTGCTGTTAAAATAACTAAATAAACACTGAGTTGTAGATAACTACACTCAATAAATATTTATGGGCAATAAAGTGATAAATAATATTCCAAAAATTTTTATTTTACAAGATATTAATTATATTATTGATGCTTATTTTATAAAATCAAGACAATTTAAAATATTGTATCACTATAGAAACTTCAGACTCTTAATACAATAAAATGAAAATCTATATTTCAGATCCATGGTTGATCCATGTAAATGTTTCAATAAAATATATTATAAGGCATTTTTTAAGAAAATTATTTGGTTCAAATGATACTATAGATTAACACATTTTTTTATAAGTTACAATTGCAAAATTGTGTCATAATTTAGTGTCATACCAAGTTATCAGATTTAGAAGGAGTTGGACATTATTTGTCCTTGTCCACCATGACCTTTTTAGATCTATTGTGATATGGAACAAACCTAAAGTTTTACATTATTATTCTTTTTTTCTTATAACATGTCAATTTTTTGCCAATTTTCTTAAAAAAAAAAACATGCAAATGCTAACACATTCACACATACATCCTTAGATTTACATAGGTTATTAAAAGAAATATACTGGAAATTATTTGAAAAATTTAAAGTATTTATTTATTATTTTGATAATATTATTTACTATCGACTAATTTAGAAAACCAATGTAAGTATCTAAGCTATTTTTGTTTCGTTTTTTGAAATTTATTTTGCACAGATCAAGAAGAAAGAAGTCAGAAGCATCATCACCATTACCATCATCATCAATTCATTATGTTTTCATTTTATGATTTATATTTATTTACTTTTTTTTATTTGATAGTTTCTGATGCCAAAATATACCAACTTACTCTCTTATTAAAGGTCAACTAGCGGCATCTAGATGGAGGAGCAAGTTTGGTAGGCCTAGCAAACTTCCTAGATTAGGAGATGTTGATCCAACAGGATCGTTTTGTACTTTTCCAGAAGACTGGCTGTCTAAGAAAATGGGTAGGATTTTAAAATGTTATTGCTCTGAGGTGGAGGGTACTGCGATGCTGCTTTTACTAACAATTCCATAAGTACTTAGGAACCAAGTTTTGAAGCTGCAGGAATACATAGTGCATAGTTCTGAGAGCTAGTTTAGATCAACGCTAGTTATTCTCTTGTTTTTTTTTATTATTATCAATTTGAAACTTACACACAACACTCCTAACAGACATTTTATAATCGATACTGTGAGCAGCCATGTGTGAGTTTAGGGTAGTAAATAAAGTCCCTTGAATTTCACAGATATATTTATGCACTTGGTAGCTGGAGTTAAAATTTGGGTAAAAAAACAAGAATTATTATGAAAGTTATTTTAAAAAACCGACTTCAAAATCGTGTAGATGCCCTTAAAAATTGCGATTTTTTTATTTTCTTATAGATCGTCAGATCCTGATCAATTGTATATGGAACTACCCCTGAGATATCCCCTTTCTAACAAAAAAAAATATTCTGACGAATTGAGAATGTTCTCCTTTTTTGAAGTCGGTTAAAAATATATTTGAAACTGTGGACTTTATAAGGAGTGATCTACAAAAAAATGTTTTTGAAGTAGGCCTTGGATAAATAATAATAATAAAAGTGCTTTATTGAAACTTAAAAGTTACAAAAGGCCATTGACCGAGGTCCTTCAGCCTACCTTGGATAAATTAACGTATATCAGAGAATTATAAATAATTTTAATTCAAAATCGTTGATTTCATACACTTTAAATTGACGTGAATGCCAATAAATTTGACAATTAAAAGGTATTATTAAGAACCGCAATTTTATTTTCATTAAAACTAGAAAGAGCAAAGGCATTACTGTCTTTGTTGGTCAAGGCCTACACTAGAACCATTTTTTGTTAATCACCCTATATAGTAGCTTTTACTAACAATAAATTGCATTTTTTTTTAAAAACATTTTGATTTTTTAGTTAGAACATTAGTTTTTTAACAATGTTTCAATAGCAGGATGCTTAAGCATGAACTTCCTGAAAAATTGTTCAAAGTAAATAAAAAATCTCGAAAAAAAAAGAAAACTAACTAAAAAAATCCTACAAACTGAAAAGAATAATTAAAAATATTAAATACCTCTTATTTAATTTGAACAATTTAATACTATCATTATTGTTATTTTCATATTGAAAAACATTTATTACATAGTAACATATTGACATATTTGTTATTACTATGCCACCTTTGTTTATGACTGATGAGATCCTGAGGAAGAGATTTGATGGAGTTAGTTGAGACTCGGCTTTGTAGAGTTCTCGCTTGTTTTTATATTATAAAAGAATATCATTCTTTGTTTTCAGTCATTCTTTTCTCTCACTTTGTACTTGTAGTTACTTGTTATTTTTTTTATTTTTACAGCGGCTGCTGTACCAAGACCGACAACTAGGAATTTGGTTGACAGTAAGTATTTATTAAATATCACAATAATGATAGTAATATGAGTAGTTGAAGGCGGCATATTCAAATTTTCAACCAGGTTTTCCTTAATATTTCTTTATTGACGTGAAACCCTATTACATTATTAAATATATTAAAAATATTCATGTATATACATGACTTATTTAAAATTAAAGATATACCTAAAACTGACAACATAAACATAAGACATGACTAGCGAGAGCATAGAATATAGTTGAAATAAATAACAATTGTTTTATTTTATATCTAAATTTATTTTAGGCCTCATTGAAACATCAATATTTTCACATTCTTTTTGTCTATACTACTCCAGCTTTTTTACCTAGTCTAAAATGTCATCTTAAATTTAATTATCGCCATATGCAAATAAATTCTTTGGATAATTATCCTTGGTCCTCCTATAATTACGATGGGGGATTGAGATGATCAATACCTCTTTCCATGAGTACGAAAATTATGAATGAATTAAATTAAATGCTCTTTATATATATACATAAAATTGTCGAAGTTCCAGCATTTTTTCATTAAGTTGTACATCTAAGTAAAGAATATGAACAATTTTTGTATTTATTTTTGTAAGATACAAAAGATGATAAATAGAAGCGCTCTTGATTGATATGATAACTTTGCTGATTTAAGTGTATGGTGAGTTAGCTATAATTAATTCATGAATTATTGGTTTCAGTTGGCATCGCTAATTCCATCCCATTCATAGGATTTGGATTTCTGGACAATTTCTTCATGTTAGTTTTCGTAAGTTTTAAACAGTATCCCTAAAAATTCTTAAGAGTTATTGCACTGCTTTTAAAGGAGACCTACTGTGAATTTGCCCTGGTAAACTAAAGTCTAACGTCCAGAGCAATAACTCTTAAGGACGGAGTATCCCTGTGCAGACCAAAAGTTAAATCGACCTATTTCCAAATGTTTGTTTTTTATTTAGATGCAAAGCTGGTCTAAACTCGAATTTCTGGTTAATTTTGCATTATTTTTTAGGGAGACTACATCGATTTGTACTTGGGATCGTACTTTTGTTTGACCACAATGGGGGCCGCAGCTTTAGGTAACACGCTATCCGATATTATGGGTATCGGTTCAGCTTTTTACGTGGAAAGATTGGCTAACAGAATTGGATTCAGACCACCCACACTTTCACCTATTCAATTAGATATGAATTGCTGTAGGAATTCCGCCAATACTGGTAGAGTATTAGGTAAGTAATTGACTTAAATATGGAAGGAAGTTTCTCGATAATGTTATTATTTTATAGGTGTAACGTTGGGTTGCATACTCGGTATGTGCCCGTTATTCTTCAAGAAGAACAACAAAGAAAAGGAGCAGCAGAAGAAAAATGAGGTTTTAGAAGAATGAAATTGTTACAAATATTGTATATACCTAGCTATAGAACGAATGCAATTATTGAATGTGGTGAAAACTGATAAAAACAACAATATGTAAGACATTTTCCAGCGATATTCTTCCGCTTTGATAAAATGATTCACAGTCGCCCTGTTTTTGGGTTTATTTTTTAACACATTATAAATAAGTCTATCCTACCTTGCTGGTTAAGGTAGGTTGCAGTAATAATAATAAATATTATAAAAATGTTTAAATCCAATATATAATAGCAAAGAGTACAAAATGTAACTATAAAAGAGGAGTCACTCGCCCAATTACCGCCTTCTAACGCGATCAGCCGCCAGTCCTCCACCGTCCTTTCTCGATCGGCAGTATACCGGTGTAGTTCAACGCGTAAGGCTCGTTTACTCCGCTACGTTAGATTCTGCTGTGTATTGGCCGTTACATTCCACTATCATCGCCGCCGCGTCTTACCGCTTAACCCCGGTATAGCCCAATTAGCTCTGTACTCTTTGAAAAAACGCCGACTTGTCGGCCCGCCTTTGAAGCGCGATTTCCTTTGTAAATGCCGCGAGTGACTTCTCTTTTATAGTTATATTTTGTACTATTTGATAATAGTATGTTTATTGTAGTTCATGATTTTAAAAAAATGCTGCAAATATATGTGTAGCAGTATTGGAGACAAAATCACATTTGTAGCAGTGTCCTAAAGGACGTCACAATTGTAGCAGCTTACTAGAAAATATCACATTTGTAGCAGTTCTAGAGAAAGCCGCATTTGTAGCAATGTTTAGCGAGTGATACATTTTTAATAGTATTAGAGAAATAAACTCAAAATTTGGCGACTCTGAATCGTTATTTATTATCTCTGTCACCGGTACAAAACTCCAAACTGTAATTCTAATTCAACTGAGATATATTTTATCATCAATACCTTGTCCCCTTTAAAGATATATAGATTATTAGCAGCATAGATTATATATTATATCAAGGTATTCCCTCCAGAACCAAAAACACCAATTTAAAAAAAAAAACATATTTTTAATTACTTTTAACGTAGAAAGAATGCGAGAACGTTACCAAGGAATTAATTAAAAATATTTCTTTAAATAAAACAATAATTTTGCGAATTCAGTTCTTATTACCTTATCTTTCTGCAGACTGTTAAATGTTAGAATTATATTCAATATTTTCATGAGTTTCGAACTAAAAGATAGACTTAAAAAGCTTTAAAGTTGTAAAGTGTAGCTCAGCTTCTAATAATAATTACATTATAAGCATTTCCTGAACTTTGATCTAGATCTAGCCGAGCACCTCATTTGAAACTAAAATAGAGGATGTAAAGTAACTTTAAAAACCCTGCGAGAAATTATAAGAATCTCCTATATCTTAACTAAACTAGATCTAGCACTATATCTATGAACTTAACCTGTGAAATGTGTACCTGAGCCTCTTAATACTGACAAATCTTCGAGGAGAAATTATAAAAATATTTTATCTTTATTGCAGCTCTGATCTAGATCAAACACTATATAAAGGTGAAATTATTATTATAAGAATTTCCTAAACATTTAGTTTAGCTATGATCTAGATCTAGCTCTATTTCGAGCTTAACTTTTGAAAGAGTCTTAGGCTGTCTAAGGTTTTTATATTTTATTAATTTAAATACGTTTATGATTACTTATGAACAATTTTTTTTACAATAATTATTGTATTTGATTCCTATAAAACGAATTTTGCCGAATTACATTATATGCCTTACTGTTTCCATATTTTCACGTGATAGAGCAACTTTAGATGATCCAATGTCATTTTTTTCAATAATTCGGACAAAATTTAAATCGTGCCATATCCCAAATAAGAGTGATCCACAAAAAAACTGTATCAAAAGTAGGCCATGACAGATACGAGTCGTGTCCGTGATAACTAACACACGGCTTTAAAGTAAATCCATACTGACATGCGTGAATTTCTCCAAGGCCTACTTTTAGCAACTTTTTTTGTGGATCAATTCATAGTTTAATGTCACTGCCACTATAAACTAGAGGAAAAAAAATTGGATCATATAAATAAGCCCGAACACAGTTGGTGTTAACATATCGTTTAGAAATAGATAATGAAAAAATTTGTATCTCTCGATCATATTCTTTCATCATTCCTTTTGTTTTTATAATAATTATTGTTAATATCGGTTAGAAAGCTGAGAACAAATCAAAATCGTAACAAAGGTATTTTATAGTTATGAGTAATAATTTTTATTCAGTTTTTAAATGTATTATTAATATAATATATCTAAATCTGTTTTATACATTCTAATTTATTTATTTACTATGCAATATAGGTAATATTTTAAACAAATATGTAGTTATAAGTTTTATCTATTGTTAATTGTTTTGAAAAGTTTTAATTATATTGATCTGTTGTGTCCTATGAATAAATGGTATGACGTGAGATGTACAGTACAAAAATTGTTTTAATTCACGCGTTAAATTAAAAATGTGCCTGGGGAGTTAAAAATAAATATCAGCACATTACTACAGTAAGCGCCACATCTAAAGAACCAGCGCAAATGCTCAAATTCGTTTACTTAAAAATGGCCACGCACATTCACAATTTGAACCTTGTCCTTGCTTACGGTCAGTAGCGTAACGACTAGATCATTGTTTCTGTGTTTTGGTTAAAGTGACTGGTTTTATTTTTGATAATGTCTTCTATTGTGGGTGAAAAAAAGCGCAGATCTGTTATTAAACGGACAAAGTCGTGAAGTAATATACAATGTTTTTAAATATTTTGATGCAACAAAAAAGGAAGGAGTTACTTTAGATGATATCAAACTGCACAAGCAACAGGTAAACATACTCTGTAGTTTAATTGCAATTAAACTTGCGTAGTTTTCCATATTTTTTTTGTATTTTACACACATCTATGCATTTTATTTTTGATTAATATTTTATATTTAAATTTTTAAAATTTATCTTGTTTCCTAATAAATGTAAAAAAAATACTAAATTTAACATTAATATAATATTCCGTTTTTACAGGTGTTTCTTATACTACTGTTAAAAGAATTTTGAAGGAAGGTAAACAGTCAATGGAAACAACTGGAAAAATTACATTTTCCACACCTAGGAAAAACTTCGTCAAAAAATCAACCGCTACGAATCTCCCTGAATATCAATTGAGGGACGAATAATTTACGATTTTCATATAACAGAAAAGTCTCGTGTTACTGTTAAAAGGTTAAATAATAAAATTAAGGAAGATTTAGATATCCACATATCAGAAACTTCATAAGAAGAGTCCTTAAAAATGGAGAAAACCACAAAATAATCGTAAAGTTTTGGTGGAAAAAATTAAAATAATTTTTTTTTCTGTTATTTCTAAAGGCCAAAGGCTTATTATAGTTCACGGTGGGGGAGAAATGGGTTTTATCAAAAATAGTTTGTTGATATTCAAATCAGGGACCAAGTCTGGAGATTATCATTCCGAAATGAATTCGGAAAATTTACTGTTTACGTTGTTTGTATTTACTTATAGGCTATATAAGTGGTAAGTATTTAATACCATTTCATTTTAATTTCTTGATAGTTTCGGCCTTTACTTGATGAAAATCCATATTATTAAAATGAGAAAAACCAAACATGGTAGATTTTCCCACTTTTATTTAAAGAAATAAAAATTGCACAATTGTTTCTTCAAATGTGACTTCAAAATAAACTAATTAGTTAAAGTAGGTACTTAAGAGAAATATATTAATAAAATTCCAATAAGATATATCATTACCGGGATTATCTCACAGAAAACAGGTAAAGAGATTTAATTAAGCTCAGTTATTAATATCTACCCAGACAGCACACCAAATCCTTTGGATATCTATTGAACATCCCAATATCCACTGAATGTCCAGTCCATGGTGGATATCTATTTTATATCCATAAAATGTAATTTATAGACATGCAAATGTCCATAAATAATAGTAATTATATAGCAAATTATTAAAAAATGACGCCATTGTGGCTAATAGTACCGTTCAGATATTTAAAATTATTTTTTTTAAGGTGTATTCAATATCCCATGGACATCCACATATATCAAAGTCTTAGCGCGGACGCAAACCATCGTGGATAACTACTAGATGTAATTTTTGATTTTGCTTCCTAAGTATAGATGCCACTTTCGTATCTACTCATGCTCAACCCGCCATAATTGAGTTGATCGAACATTTTTTCGCATTAAGACTCTATTAGAGACTGGAGTCGAAAATTTCCATTTATTGCTGAAGAGTCCTAATAAGGATGACTTTTTCCTTAGTGGGCAAACTCAAAGACAGGTTGTTGGAAATATTTTTTATCTCTATTTTCTTTCGACGTTATCATTCATTTGGTTACTTATGAATGTCTACTAAAGATACCTATAAAATATTTTGCTGAATATCTGAATTCTATATCCTGGGATATAGACGGACATTTGGTTGGATATCCATATTTGGATATTGGATATCCACAAAATATATTCTGTGGATATCTCTGGGATTTCTTGTATTGTCTGGAAGATACTAATTAGATATTTTGCTGAATATCCATAGGATATCTTCTATATTCTGGATATAGACGGACATTTGGATATCCATATTAGATCCACGGAATATTTCTGATATCCTGTGGATATATTGGATATCCACAAAAGATATTCTGTGGATATCTTTGGGATTTGGTGTGTTGTCTGGGTAATTGATCACTTAAGAGGATATTTAAATTTTTAAATCTATGTATTTCAAGTGTTTCTAAATGGTTTAATTTAATGCCTTTATTCTCAAAATGTGAAACAATTTTTGCATAAACAATTGATTTTCAGATAAAAACATGTTTTGTAGAATTATTTTTGATTTTAGTATAACTATTGTAATGTTTTAAATAGCTTTTTTTTAAGTACGGCCCGTTTAACCAATATACAATTTTACCACAATTAATTTATTTGAATAAGGATAATTTCCTGACCGTAACAGAATTTTATATAAATACCGAACGGAAAGCGGTAGAACAGCCTTAACCTAAAGTCCGCTTACTTAAAAATAACGATTTTTTAATTGACTATAGAATTATATCTAATAATAACACTAAGCAATATGTATGAACAAGTATCATTCACCATTTTCCATTTATTTTGTCTTAAAATATACGCGCCCCTGGTTTATAACTTTCTAGGTAAGCTACATGGTAAGCTACCAATTCTATTCATCGGTAGGCGTGTTCGTAGCATTATAAATGCGCGTCCTTGGTTCTTTAGATTTGACGTTTACTGGGGTCTATTCTATAAAAATTCCTTTATATTTAACGCCCTTTAAAAATATTTTCTTTAATTCGGTCACTATTTAAACGGATCTTTAAAATACATTAGAGGACTATCTTAAAGAAATCTGTTTAAATAATGACAGAAGTAAATTAACGAATACAAATATACTTTTAAAGGCCGTTAAATATAAAGGAATTGTTAGAGAATAGACCCCACTGTATAATACGTCGAAATTTAATTTGTTTGCTAGGGTTTAATTTGTACAAATAAATTTTTTACTTAATAAACCCTTTAAATTATATTAATACTCCGCCTATGGTTACTTGTTAAAAACGTCTTTTTTCATCATTTGATGTCTTTTATTTCGTAATTTTTCAGCCAATTGCCAAATAGAGTTTATACAGCAACCCAATAATTGTCAGCTGTGCGCCTAGGCCAGAGGCCAAATAACAGAAAAAGATTGATAAATGTCAATTGTCATCCGGTGAAAGAAAAAGCAAGAAAATTAAATTCCAAAATATTGTAAAAATATTTTTTTAAAAAGGTATTTAAGTGTATTTGTATTAATAAATCATTTTCACGGATTGTTTACAGAAAAAAAAAAATTATATTTTAGCATTGTTTAAAATATATTTTATAGTTATATATGGCTATCGAAAAGATTGTTCTTAGAAAATGCGTTTTGTTATTAGATTAGATCCCAAAGCACTAAAGTTCTTTTTAAAATGGTAGTTTTTCAAATATCAATGACAAAGCTGTAACACATCCCTATTTCAGTCACTTTACGAAACAAACTTTAAAATTAATATAGTTAGATAAATCCTAATTTATTGAAATAAATGTTTAATGAAGTTTAAATATGTATATTTAAAACATTTTGTTAATTTTAGTTATGTCTAAATCCGGAAATTCGGGTACATTTGAACCACAGCAATATGAGGGACAGGCACAGATAGCTCAAAAAACATGGGAATTGACTAATTCTGTTGAAGTAGTAAGTTCGGTTGATGAAATATATCGATATGACAAGAAACAACAACAGGACATACTGGCAGCAAAACCTTGGGAAAAAGAGTATGTTTGGATAATATATACACAAATAAATATATTGTAATTGCATATATGGCACATCTGTCTGCATTTTTCACATAATATTGGTATTAATTATAAACAAAATGACTTCATAGAAATTTAAATAAATGAAAATTTAATGATTATAATTGAAATGCCAAATGCACTTAACACATATATTGGTAATATAATTGACTTAGTATCTAATAAAAATCAGAATGTTAATGATTTTCCCATTATTGTTAAAAAGTTTAATATTGATAGTTTATAAGAAATGAAATGAATGCCTGAAAACAGAATCTTGACAACAAATTAATTAATAATATGTCTTTATTAAAACAGATTGATATAGATTGCCAACTTTGAACCATTTCAGCTGAGCGAAATAAATTGAGATATCATATTTCCTCAAACCAAAAATGTATCTGCAACAAGCATTTTGTATAAGCTGTAATTGGCTCTGGGACAATTTGTCCAGACAAGGATAGTAAACAATATTACAGTAACTTAATATTGATAATTCTGGAATTTATTGCGTCTCGGACATTATTTTGATTAACTAGGGTAAAATTAAAAATATTGTTCAGGTATTTATTATTAGCACAAAAATGAATTTTGTTAAGATAGATGTCAGATATTTTAAAAATGCTAGTAAAATAATTATTTATTTCTGTAGGATTTTGTAGGTTCACAGGTAGATTATTTTTTAAAATAGAATGAACTATCGTAGTACCCTTTCCATAAACGTTTCTCATTTTTTTCATTCTGCAAACTGGTTAAAAATGCTGCTTTTTCCCTCCTAATTGCATAATGTCGATATTCCTTATAATGCCTTCAGTTTTCAGGTGTTCTGCTACATTTAAATTTAGATAATACATTATCCCCTTCCTTGAGAATTAACTTTAAATTATCAGTAAGCCAAGGAGCTGGAGGTTTACTGACTCTGATTTTTAACAAGGGTACATGTTCATTGAAAAGCATAGTTACATCGTCAGTTAAGAAGCTAACCTTGTCATTAATATTATCAATAAAGAATATACCATCCCAGTAAATTGCTTGTAAATCATTTTTATATTTTTCAATATTTAGGTTCTTAAATTTCCTTTTAGTAATGAATTTCTGTCTCGATTTATTAATAGATATATTTAGTGTGCAATGAGGCATAATATTATGATCACTCAAGTGAAAGGGGATGGTGGCGTTGTCTTGACAAATGTCTTTGCAATTAATAAAGATGGGATCTATTAATGTGGCACAACTTTCAGAAATACGAGTTGGCTCAGTAATAACATTAACATAGCCATAAACGTCAAGTAAATTTAGGGTAGAATTAGGTACTAACATATCTATGTTCAAATCACCAGTGATAATAGAGTAATCTGATTCAGAAAGCAAAAAAAGAATTGAAACATTAAAAAGATTAGAGAGTTCAGTGAGGCCCGAGTCGGACGGACGATATATGACTGCCAGAAAAAGTTGATGCATATTGGTTTTCAGTTTCAGAAATATAATTATAATTGATATTATTTAAGTCAAGATCATTAACCTCGCAATTGATATGTGATCTTACATAGCAACCTACGCCACCACCTATTCTGTTTGGCCTATATGTTCTGTAGAAATAGTATCCTGGCAGGGATACCATACTAGATACAATGTCATCATTTAACCATGTTTCAGTAATACATATAATATCATATTGATCTTGTATAAAATAAGAAAAATCAGTAAAACTTGGGAGTAATGATCTCATATTCAAATTTGCAACTCTTAATAATATATTATTGAAGATTATGTTAAGTAACTAATAATAAATTGTTAAATTCTTGAGTACCTGTTTAAAGTATTCAAGGGTTTTACATTTTACATCAGTAGCCTCATGATCAATAGGATATTTAGTTTTGTACTTAGTATTGAAAATTTTATAATAATTTATACAACTAATTTTATGTTTATCACATTCATCTCTTTGATGGTCTCCTCCACACACAGAGCAAATAATAGCAATTGGTCAATTTTGTTGTGATAATAACCCTGACATTTGTAGCACCTAGGTATATCTAGATCTTCATACACACTGTAGCGTTCCCACCCGATGCAAATTTTTCCTTCCGACAAAAGATACTGGATCACATTCAAGAAATATAGTTTTGTCACCAAACCGAATTTTTTATGAGAACCACTTTAATTTCGTGTTTTAAATTGTCCTGTTCCATTATACCCCTTTCAATTTCTTCATTATTTATATCTTATTTAAAATGTATTACCTTAATCCTAGGCTGTCTCATTTAACTCAATTCAGCAGTGTAGTTGTTTTTCATCTTGGAATCTATATCTTTTACTACTTCTACGTACGTCCAATTACAGGTGCTCTTTTTTTAGAACTACAAAGACCATTTGAAATCCTATCTCTACTCATTAAAAAGTTGAAGTTTTGGTATTATTGAAAATGCACTACAATGGCTTCTGGACAATAGAAGACAAAAAATTAAATTTAAAAATATTTTATCAAAAGAACAAAAAATGAATTAGGTGTACTCAAGGGAAGCGTATTGGGCCCTTTATTGTTCCTTCTATATATTGATGATATTTCTCATGTTACATGTGGTTGCTACATTTATCTGTTTGCAGATGATACACTGCTGTATTATTCTGCTAATAATTTACAGGAAGTAACCACTACTATAAATGCTACATTAAAGCAAATATATGATTGGTGATGGTTAAAACAGTAGCATTTAAAATACGAGAAAACCTCATTATAGAAAAAAAAAATAATAGAACAATATACACTGTCTAGCCAATTATTTACATACTATAATACAAATATTTACATACTACAATAATACACACCTATTTATTGACCTCATGAACCGGTGCTCAAAACATTTTAATAAATGGGCATTGGTTCTTTTATATAACAGTATATTTTTTCTTAATTTCACTTATTGTATCACTATTTACTTAATTCAGAATTACAAAATAGAGTAAAGTAAATTTTATTTGACTACGTTACATAATACAATATATGTTTGTAGCAAGTCACAAACCGTACATATTAAAATAACGGCTTATTTAGACATAAAATACAGAACTACACAACGAAATGCATACATATAATTGTTAAGTAGAATAAAGTATCTCAAATTAAGTTAGGTGAGTATATATAAAAATGAATTGAACTCCAGCAGCCCAAACTCGGATGGTAATACATTATAAAGACCAAGGTCGAGGGAATTGTTTTTTGATTTATTTAGTAGATATCTATTTATTCTTATTGTGAATATCGGACTGACTGGAAAGACATGATAATTTCTTATGCATTTCCAAAAGGACATTAAATATATAAATAGTTGGTAGAGGCATTATTCCTTGCTGAGTAAACAAGGGCTGACAATGGTCTCTAAATTTGGAACCAATTATGATTCAGCCTTCTTTTGTAACCGAAAAATCAAAATTGCATGTGAACTGTTACCCCAAAGTTCAGTGGCGTAATTTATGTGGGAATGGAATGGGGAAAAGTAAACCGTTCTTAATATGGTACGATCTGTCATAGTTTTAAGCTGCCTCAACAGATATATGGTACTGCATAATTTAGATTTTAATTTATTTATATGAATTTTCCAAGTTAAATTACTATCTAACAACTCCAAGTAACTTAGTACTATTGCAATTTTGAGAATCGGTAACAGAGGAAAACTGCAATTCCTGAGATTTATTTTGATTTAACATTGTTAGCTAATGTCCAGCTTTGTTCAGCTTTAGCGATAATAGTTTCTGCAGTATTTTTCAATTCAATTTCATTTTTTGCAGAGTACACAAAATTGGTGTCGTCTGCAAATAGAACAGATTTAAAAAGACTCATATAATTATTTAAATCGTTGGTATATATAATAAATAATAATAGTCCTAAGACAGAGCCCTGAGGAACTCCATGCCCAACCGAACTATAATTTGACCTTTGGTTCTGAAATGTAACAGCCTAAAAGCGTCCAGATAAATAAGATTCTAAAAGTTTTATCGCACTTCCTCGGATACCCTAGTAATTTAACTTATCAATCAAGATGTCATAAGAAATGCAGTCGAAAGCTTTCGACAGGTCGCAAAGAGTAACTGCTGTGTGACTACCTTGCTCAAGGCCAGACACCATTCCATGAACAACATCTATTACAGCTTGAACCGTTGATTTGTTGGTTCGAAATCCATATTGAGTGTCACTAAAGTAGTTTTGTGACTCAAAATAACTATAAAGACGTGATTTAATGATTTTTTTCAACGATCTTGCTAAATACAGATAAAATTAAAATTGGACGATAGTTGTCCACGATACTCTTATCGCCCTTTTTCTGTAATGGTATAACTTTCGAGTATTTTAAACAATCTAGGAAGACTCCAGTACTAAATATAATATTTATCAGATTGGTCAAAGAATCCAAAAAAAAATCAGTAGTTTGTTTTATAATTTTAACATTTAGTTCATGAACGTCAAGAGAATTAGAATTTTTTAAGGATTTTATTGTATTCAAAACCAGGGTTACCAGGTTTTTGAAAGAGATGACGGACAGACAGAGAATTTTAGGGGAAATAGGGGGAAGTAAAAACTACTCTGTCTATTTTCATTTTTTTAATCAAAATTACTTATTTTGTAAAAAATCCGTACCTATTTTTTGGTAAATTTGGCAAATAATAAGGTGAAACTGTTTTCTGACTTTGGATTTCGATTTGCGATTTCTCGATTTTCTAACTTTACATTTTCACCTTATTATTTGTAAAATCACCTCAGTGTATCTTTACCAAAATTAGGTAAGTATTTCTTGCAAAATAAGTAATTTTGATTAAAAGAGTAAAAATAGACGGAGTTGTTTTTACTTCCCCCTATTTCCCCTAAAATCCCCTGTCTGTCCGTCATCTCTTTCAAAAACCTGGTAACCCTGTTCAAAACTTCATTTTGTGGGACCAGATATAAAAAAAAAGTATCCAACTGGTGCCCCAAAACACTGTTCATTTGTGATATTTTACTCTAATCCATGATTTTAGGTTACGGTTATGGGTAGGATTACTTTTCCTATATCTCCTTCAAAACATTGGCAATGTCTTGCTATGAGTAAAATGTTCACTGAACCCACCTTATGTTCTAACTTTCACTTCTTATATGCTAAGAAAACATTTAATACTATTCCATCAACATTTAGGTTCATACATACAATCGGATAAGAAATGTTGGCAAATGGGGCCAAAACTGTCTTAATGTGTCTCATATCGCCACAATATTTAAAATAACATTATTTGTCGTTTGCTACCAAAAATTAGTTACATTTATCCTATTCGATAAAATTTATTCACACACTAGTTAAATGTCATAATATGGTAAAAACATCTATTTTTAATTTACTTATAGAAAGTATCCAACACTAGTATGAGTGTCTTTTATGTACTACGCCGGTAGAAATATGTTCAAACCAACACCTTATTATAGTTGAAACTCATAAATTACTTCCAGTGAGATAGTATGTCCTAATACTTTTGAATAAAGGTATTTTACGATTCAATTTTGTATCCAAATATTAGCAAGTTCTTTAATCAAACTTTTATTTAACTTTTCATGTCTGCACATAGTAATTTGTTTACAATATATTTCACGATCTGTGTAATGTTTAATTCCATATACAGGGTGTAGTCATAAAATAATAACATACTTGTATAATTAAACTTTCTATTACTTATTATTTTGTACTCTTCATTTTATATGAATGTTGTAAAACCTTGTGATGTTTAAAAAAGGCTTTTATTAGATAATTTTGGAAGCGATTTAATTATTTCAAGAGAAATAGTTGTGAAAAAATATTGTTTTTCACAGTTATAAACTGGCCTCGATGGTCTGAAATACATGGTTCAAAAACATCTGAATTTATTGAAGAATCGTCTAAGTTTGTAATTATTTATTTATTTACGGGCAAGCCCATTTCAATCACAAATTACAATTATAAAAATTAATTAAAATATCACAAATAGTTATGGTGCTGTTGCACAAAGACATCATACATGTCATGCAAACTAGAAACATTTAAAATAATAACATATGTTAGTCGAAGGTTAAAATAGAGAAAACACACAGTAAAACATTAACATTAAAGCTCAGTATTACGTAATTGAGTTGTGAATGATGAAAATGGAATATTGAACAGCCTGAGATCATTGTGCAAGTTAGCTAATCTAAGCATTCTTGGAATGCAGCTGTTAAAAGTCTGGTTCGATCTATAAAAAGGTACATAAATGTTTGCAATTGCCTAGTTAAACGAGTTTGAACAAGAAGATTTATTTTTTCAAGAAGTTCAGGACAATTACTTCTACTATTTATAATATTAAATAACAAACTAAGGTCTCTTTGTTTTCGCCTAGTTTCCAAGGAGGGGATGTTCAGAAACTGTTGCATGAAATCATATTCACAATAAACACCCAATTTAAAAGCTATATGTCTGAGAAAGTTGTGCTGAACACTTTCTATTTTCCTACTATATGTTATATAGTGTGGAGACCAAACAGAAGAGCAGTAGTCAAGGTGAGGTCTGACTAACGAACAATAAAGAACTCTAATTGCAGTTGTGTCAGTAAAATCACGGGTCAGCCTTTTGATAAAACCCAACATTTTCATAGATTTGTTGACAGCAGCAGATATGTGTTGATTGAAGCTTAAAATAGGATCGAGAATAATTCCAAGGTATTTAATTTGATAAACAGAGTCTAAGATATGACCATTTAAGTTATAGTTAAATGTAGTTGAAGGTAGGTGGGAACGATAAAAACGCATGATATGGCATTTATTGGCATTCAAGTCCATGCCATTTAAAGAATACCATTCTGATAAGTTATCGAGGTCAGACTGAATTCTACGGGCATCATCATGGGTTTTAACAATTTGGAAAAATTTTAAGTCATCTGCAAATAATAAAGCTTTGCTGTTGCGGAAACAATAAACTATATCATTAATGAATAAGTTAAATAGTAAGGGGCCTAGATGTGATCCCTGAGGAACACCAGAGAAGAAACATTAACTTTAGATTCAATTTGGCTATCATTTAAATTTAGGATATGTGTGGTGTAGAGTGACGAAAAATGCCTTGCAAACAGATTAGCTACTTCACTGCCGCAACATGCAAGAGAGTTCTCCAAATTCATTTTATCAGGTATGCTGTTATTTGCTCTTTTACTATTAACAAAATTCCAAAATGATTTAACGTTAGTCTTAATAGAGGTTTCAACAGAATTTATATAATTTGAATAGCATTCTCTGGATAAAAGCTTACATTGTGCTCTTAACTGACTAAATATTTCATAATTATGGGTAGTCCTGTTATGTTTATAAATCCTGTGAGCAACCTTTTTATCATTAACAAAGCTCCTAAGCTGCGAGGAATACCAATGTGGAAGTTTTTTCGTAGAAACTTTCCTAATGGGAACAAATAACTCAATTACGGAAAACAGAGCGTCATAAAAAATGGAAATCATCTCGGAAAGTTCCTTATCTCGAAGAAGCCCGTCTTCCAAATATTGACGTATACCCGTGAAATTGGAGTTGCGAAAATCATAATAACACTCATCACCGGGAGCCACACTTTTGTTCAACATAAATTGTACTGTTGTTTCCAGAGGAGGGTGATGCGCATCAGGTGAGATCAAAATGTCGTCGGCCAGGAGCACTGTTAGTTCAACAGGGGACAGAACTAGGTTAAGAATAACACCCCTTGTGTTGAAGACATTGTTAGACTGGAAGATATTGTACAATGCACATATATTCGAGACTATTTCGATAGCACTTGCTTCAGCCAATGAAGATGTGGGTTGAGCTGTAGCTGAAGAACAGAAATCTTCAATTTGCCATATTGCCGTAGGTAGATTGTAATCTCCAAACAGGTAAAACTGACTGCCTGGATATTGCTCGTTTAGGATTAACAGTTGATCATAATGAAGTTGATATAGGTTAGCATGAGATTTGGGAGGAATATATATGGTACCTAAGATGTGTTTGCACTTACTTTGGTCCAGGTGAATAAACAGTTGCTCGATTGAAGGGTTTGAGTTGATAATACTTGAAGAGAATTTTTTCTTAACAGCAATTAAAACACCACCTCCTCTGCTAAAGATGCTTGTCTTGGTTGTACGATCCTGTCTGTAGATGTTGTAATCGTGTAGGCCAAGTTCGGCATCGTTTATCTCGTCGGTAAGCCATGTTTCCGTAAGAACAATTACATCGTATGAACAGTTTGAGACATTAAGACTTAATTGAGATAGTTTGGTTCCAAGGCCTCTTACGTTTTGATAATAAATAGACAGTTTGCCCGGATTTACTAGTTTTTTGAATTATCGTAGGAGTATTATTGACATATTTTATTGTTAAATCTTGTTCGCCAGCTTGCTGCCGCTGCAGTAACTCTCCTCTGACAGTTTCCAGGGTTTTCCTCTGGTTGATAGTTTGGTCAAGGTGTATAAAGATCTTTTTTTCCCGAGCAATATTGTTTTTATTTTTTATAATTTGGTGCACGTCCCGAGGGGATTTCATGACAACATGATAACATTATGTTATCTAAACATGAGGAAGATGTAGCCGTGACTAGTATATTCATAAATCATAGTTTTCAAACCAAAAGACATTAAAATAGAATTGAGTTCGGTATTACCTCTCGAAGTAACTTTAAAATCAATATTAAAATCACCCAAGATAATTGTATTTCTTTGAAGTGTTATATCTAATAACTTTTCTAAATTTTCAAAAAATAAATCAATATTTCCTTTACCCGATCATTTTCAACTCGGGAAGTTCTAATGCGCAAAATTCACTTGATTGTTCTAAGTTAAATTTTGTTACGTCCAGAATGAATATTTTTATGTTTCTTTAGAAATATAGCTACGCCGCCACGCAATTTCTCACTTCTACAAAAAGAAGTAGCACATATATAACCAACCAAGTTCACGCTGCCAAGTTTCATTTCATCTAACCAATGTTCCGAGATGCAAAGAACATCAAAATTAAATTCGTTTAAGAATACATCGAGCATTTCCACTTTATTAGAGCAATGAGGATATTATTGTCATGTGATAAAAGGACCAATATATTATGGATGTTACATAATTTACAATGGCTTTCTGTTAAAAACTATTTTCTTTACTTAACTTTAACATTCATTTATAAAATTAAACATGGACTCGGAAATAGTTCTGGGAGAATAATTTAAGAGACGAATCTATATAAAATTTTAAACACCTGTTACTATTTTTACAATAAAAATATATTATTTTAGCCCGCATTTTTTCAAAGACATCAAAATCTCCGCCCTAGCTTTATTAAAAATGGTCATGCACGCAAGATCTGGAGGCACCCTCGAAGTAATGGGATTAATTTTGGGCAAAGTTGATGGTAATACAATGTTTGTAATGGATTCTTTCGCATTGCCTGTGGAAGGTACTGAAACACGTGTCAATGCCCAAGCGCAGGCTTATGAATACATGAGTTCTTACATTGAAGCAGCAAAACTGGTAAATTTAAATTGAATTAAAGAAGTATGTTATGGAGAAATGGAATTTGGTAATGTCCATTTCTCCATAGTCCTTTCTAGCATTATGGAAATAATGAATTAAGTATTTTATCAGTCAGCAATATTGAAAATGAAAAACTTGTAGGTTGGTCGACAAGAAAACGCCATTGGTTGGTACCACAGCCATCCAGGTTATGGTTGTTGGTTATCTGGAATAGATGTAAGCACACAAATGTTGAATCAGAATTTCCAAGAACCATTTGTGGCTATTGTGATTGATCCTGTTCGCACAATTTCGGCCGGTAAAGTATGCTTAGGTGCTTTCAGAACTTATCCAAAGGTAAGTGGTACAAAGAGTGGCTCAATACAAATTCCCAAAGCTAAAAATATCTTCGAGAATATCAATATTAATATTCACAGAAAGCATAATATTTCTAGGTATTCCTCGACATTCTACTATTATAGTTAAAAATAAATTATATATAAACATTTTTCGCGGATCGCTCTTTACTTGTTTAATATTAATTTTAGGGCTATAAACCTGCAAACGAAGAACCTTCTGAATACCAAACTATACCTCTAAATAAAATTGAAGATTTCGGCGTACATTGTAAACAGTACTATTCATTAGAAGTGTCTTATTTCAAATCGGCTTTAGATAGGAGACTTTTGGATTCGCTTTGGAATAAATACTGGGTGAATACTTTGAGTTCGTCCAGTTTATTGACGAACGCCGATTACACGACCGGACAAATTTTCGATTTGTCCGAAAAATTAGAACAATCCGAGGCTGCAATAGGTTAGTAACGCAAGTCCATTGAAATAATGGAATGGTGTACAGGGTGTATAATGTGACTCGATATTTTTTCGTTATTAATGTTGCTTATTACTAATTCTAAAAAGTGGTTCTATATTGTTGATTTTTGGTAGATGTAGTTTTCTAATTGATTGAATATGGTGTAAATTCGAAAAGAGGATCAATAAAATAACGGGTTTTTTATATATAAATATAAAATATAATTATACAATAATTGTACCGTGTGTCCAAATAAGAAAGGATGAAAATGTTTTAAATGTGCAATATATTTACCCCTAATTTGAGGGTGTTTGCAACTAATTATGAGTCGATTAATTAAACCCAATATTTTAAATCTACAACCATTTAATTTCAACTGCCGGTACAAAATATAAAAATGTCTAGTAGATAAGGAACTAGATTTACAGGGTGTAACAATTTGAACATATAAAATAATTATACAGGGTGTTCGATAAGTACGGTACATAACTGCAGGAGCGTATTCTGCAGCTAGAATAAAGGTATTTTTGTCATATACACTGTCTCAAAAATGCTTTATTACGGAAATATTCATAATTTTTTTTTTTTTTTTAATATTTCCAAAATCACTTAAGATATTTTAATCAAACTAATCGCTGAAAAATATGGAAAGAAAAACGTGTTACGCCACTGTTCTGTTTTTAATGTTCGATTTGGAAGAAAAAGCAACAAAGACAGTAAATGTTTTCAGTGTTTTTAATAATTTTTAATCTCTTTGAACAATGTACAACAAAAAAGTTATCTTCAATTTTTCTCAGGTACTTGTTTGACATTAAAATGAATAACTTTAGTGACGCTGAAATGGCTCAAATGCACTTTATTTATGGCTTAGCAAATGGGAATTCAGCGGAAGCTAGAAGAATTTATCAGCAACGTTATCCGAATAGGGTAACGACATGTGATAAAACATTTAGAAAGATACATGCCAGATTGAGTGAAACCGGTAGTTTTAAGCATAATCGGGTAGTTCCTGGTAGACCACGAACAGTAACAACGCCTGAGCTAGAAGAAGCTATACTATAGGACAGTGGTCGCCAACCTGTCGATCGCGACCTACCGGTAGCTCACGGAGGCAATTCTGGTAGCTCTCACAACGATTTTAATTTAAAAAATACAAACTGCAAAAATCAGAGAAGCTTCCGTAAATTCCACAAAAAATCTAATTGTCATAATATTAAACATAAACAGCGGCAACGTTGCGGTGAGCGATCTGCCGCTGACGCCATCAAGCTAGAATCAGCTAGAACCGACCAGCCGGACCAGCGCGTTAGTGTTCGAGAACGATCAGGATTGCTTTGAACGGGATAAATACGCACGGCGCGGCGACATTGCGCTTAGTTTAAAACTGAACGCGTAACCAACGTCCAGCGGTTGGGTTAGTAGAGAACAACAAAAAATAATATGGCAAGCAGTTGCAAGATGGCCGTGTTCGTCAGGATGGTTTTTAGTGATTTTACGATTAAAGAAGATCTTTTGAAGTTTATTCCACTGAAAGGACACACTACTGGACAGGAGTTGTTTTCTCATTTAAAAAATATTATTTCTTCCTAGAAAATTCCAATATCGAAAATGGTAGGCTTGACAACCGATGGCGCTCCAGCTATGGTGGGTTGTGATAAGGGTCTGGTGGCGTTATGTCGTAAAGATGAAACTTTTCCGCAATTTCTCTGTTACCACTGCATTATCCATCAGCAAGCATTATGTGGAAATTTCCTGAAACTAAACAACGTTATGAAACTGGTGGTAAAAATTGTGAACAAGATTAGAGCTCAAGGCGTTACAAAGAAGATTATTCAAAACCTTGGCCGATGAAGTTGACTGTCAATACGGGGACCTACTCCTTCACTCTGAAGTCCGATGGTTAAGTAGAGGACGGGTGCTGAAACGTTTTAATGATGTCCTATCTGGCATAGTTCAATTTTTCAAACAACGCGATGAACCGACTCCGGAACTAGAAAATTCAATCTGGCTTAGAGATTTTGGTTTTCTCGTGGACATTACAGAGAAATTAAACGAACTTAATTTGCAGCTTCAGGGGAGAGACAAAGAACTAGCGGAAATGATTTCTGATATAAAAGCATTTATCAAAAAGCTGGAGTTTTGGGAACAAAACCTAATTAACAGCGATGCCAAGCATTTTCCTATTCTTTCAGAAAAAATATCTCAAAATCCATTAGAACCCTATGACAGCAAATATCATGTAGAAATAGTTTCTACCCTGAAGAATAACTTCAAAAATCGTTTTAAGAATTTCAACGAAATGGCTTTAGTAGCGCAGTTTGTTGTTTCACCCTTTATGGAAATTGATGTCCAACAGTTTGCAACTTGTGTTATGCAGAACTTTGGCGAAGATATCACTGCAACAGAAATGGAAGTAATTGAGTTTCAAAATGATTTAGCCTTAAAATCGTTAGTCTCAAGTACCAAATGTATCTGGCCTATTGTAAGTAAAGACAAATATTCAGTTCTATGCCGTGTTGCCTTGAAAGTGAAAGCATTATTCAGTTCAACCTATTTGTGTGAATCTTCTTTTTCCAATATGAAGTTTATTAAGAACAAATATCGCAATAGACTTACAGATGAACATTTGGATAATTGTATTCGAATGGCTGTATCAAATTATACTGCAAACATTAAAAAAATTATCGATGAGTCTGAGTGTCAGCCTTCTCATTGAACGTGCTTTTTTATTTTTCAATGTTTATGTTCATGATAGTGCGTTACTTTTTTGTTGTTATTATTAACTATTTTTAAATCTTACGTGACATGCCGTTGTGGCTGGATAAAAGTTTGTGTTTATTTTTCAAACACATTCGTTTGGTAGGTAGGAATGTAGCTATGAACAAGTACGTACTAGTAATATTAGTTATTTTGTTATTAGTTTATTATTAGTACCTATGTATTATGTATTACCAGTTAAATAGTAAAATAAATACATATAATGATAAATTAACTGTGGATTATTTCATTTACGTTGCGTTACGTGGCTTCCGTGTGGGTAGCTCGCTGTTTGTTCCAAAATTAACAAAGTAGCTCAGCACATTGAGAGGTTGGCGACCACTGCTATAGGAGATAGAAGAAAATCCTTCAGTTAGTACCAGGAAGATTGCACAACAGCTTCAAATAAATGCGAATACTGTTTGGAGAGTTTTGAAAGTTTCTCTGCTTTACCCATACCACATACAACGAGTACAAGCTCTGCTCCCCGCGACTTTCAGCCAAGGCTAAATTTTAGTAGGTGGTTACTCCATAAATAGTATAAATAAAAGAGGTAGTTTTTGCAGGGGCGGCTCAAGAACAGCCCTAGGCACACCACTGATTTTTATATGCGTTTTTTGTACAATAACTTCTGACCTACTCTTAGTTTTGTTGATATGTTAAGTCCAGGACGAACGAATTGCTCTAGAAATTCAGTTAAAAAATTGTAAATAGCTCGTTAACCAAGAAAGATACAAAGTTCAATTCCTGATAAAAAAAAAAATGTTAAAATTTATAGTTCTTTTTGATTTTAAGATCGATAAAGCAAGTTTTTTTTATGTAAAAAAAAAAATACGGGGGGTTAAAAGGTACCCAACTCCCCAACTTTTTTTAAGGGGGTCGCTTTAATTTTTTTTTTCTCCTTAAAATATTGTGCCTTCAAATCTACAGCACTGACAAAAATTTAAAAGAAAAAATCGCAACAGCAAATTTTTTACAAAAAAAAAAAAAAACTTTTTCTGAATGTTGGTTTAACGCCCTGTAACTTTGTTGGGAGCCAGTTTTTGATGTAGGTAAATCAAATTTACTTATTTTTTGGTAATCTATCTGAGGAAGAATTTATGAAATACCTTTTTGAAACACCCTGTATAATGCTTGACCAGGGTTGCTAGAACGGTGGTGTCAATTTCTTCCAAATTGACATCTCCCAAAACCGCAACCTTATAATAAAAAATCCCCCAAAAAAGAATGCAATTTGAATTAAAATATTTACCTAAACCAAAAATTTGTAAAAAATGGTTGTTCCTTGTGACAACATTAAAAAAAAAACAAATATTAATAATTTATTAAAAAAACTAATAAACGTTGGACACAATAATATTTGTATTAAATTAAAACAACAAAAATTTGGAATCTTAATAATAAAAATAATTCTTAAATCTTAATGTGCCAAATTAAATACCCCACAAAATACCCCCGAAAGAAAAAAACCTCCCAAAATTTACCCCGAACTGATTAAAATCCCCAAATTTGGGGGAAAATCACTCATATGGTAACTCTGTGCTTGGTATTTTAGAAGGATTTTGTTACAAAAATTTTTAAATTTAGACCAATATTGAAAATTTTGGTTACTTGTAATTAAACCTATAATACTTTCCACAGACTACTGTGTGAAGAATATATTAATGGTAACTCTCTCTTGAAACAATTTCATGTTTTATTAATTTATTAACACCCTGTAAATCTGATCTAAGATGTTTACATAGTAATATTTTCTCGATAAGCAAAAATTTATAAAGAATGGCGAATTAATTTTCGTCGTAAAACTCTTTCTCCTCTCGTGAACTACATCCATGGACACACTGTGTATTAGTACTACTAGTAATTTTTTTATAATTTTGAATTATTATGAAAAGTAAGTCTTCATAAATTCTATTGATCCTCTCATAGCATAATTATTAACAGAGACTGGGAAATTCTCCTCATATTTACTTTCCTGTCTGTATGCAGATAAGGAGAGAATAGGAATCAAGATTTTTTTGACCTCAAGTTTTAGACGAATTTTTATTTAAAAAATTGATGGATATTTACATATAAATATTGGTTTCATTCATATTTTTTTAAATTTATACCTGATTTCGAGACAAAAAATATTTTAGTCGTTTCTAGTTTGATACGTGGCAACGTTGTCTAACCTAATTACGAGTTAGACAAGAATATATACCTATTTTTTTTAAGATAACAGACTGACTAGTTTATGTAATAGG